TCTCTATTTCACAAAAGGGCTTGATGATAAGACTTTATGTCTTCTACTTGCCCCTGTCAGCTTGTAATTATATATATATTTATTCGAATTTAAAGATAACATTGTAAAATGTGTAAAACGACAAAAAAAAAAAAAAAAAAAAAAAAAAAAAAAAAATAGATGCATTTAAATTTCGTTTAGGTACAAAAGTACATTGAGTAACCTACTCACTGAAAACGCCATATTGCTCTTACTACATTACCAGATAATGTTAAATTTATAAAACAGCCTCCTGCTAAAAAGGCTCTAATAAAAAATATGGTCAGTGTTAAACAGAAGTCAAAATAAAAAAAGATAAATCAGTTAAAACAAAAATAAAGAGGACCTATTTTTCAGCTGATTCTGATCACCCAAATTCATCTAATGGTTTTATTCTAAAAAATAACACTGATAAAGACTTTTGTTGTGTTTGTGTAGTTTGGAGAGACGCAAACGAAGATTGGCTTAAATGTTTAAGTTGACATGTGAAGGATGTTTTGGAGTTGATACATATGGAAAATGTGTTCAAAGGACATATAAACGTCTTGTAAGTTTTTAAATAGTAATAGTGATATAATTTTTGTTATTGCTTTAACTTTTTTTTTTGTGCGCTAGCGCGATTAGACGGATTTTATTTTATTTTTTTTAATTTACCTCCTCAAGTCCGAGAAGGCCACTAAAGACGAGGAGGCTACTTATTTGTGGTTATAACCCTCTCTCAACTCTATAACTCCGAAACACGAACCTTGACGAACAAGGCCGCTGCGCGGAGAAACGAGTTGGGCGCGGTACTACCAGAGACGTGGTGGGAATCGAACTTGGAACCACTCGTTTATGAAGCAAGCGCTCTACCACTACACCACTACCGCATTTATGCCAAAACCATTGTTTGATATTTTATAGAAAAAGTTTAACAAATGACATCCTTTTAGATGTCTTAGAATCAGGAAACTGACTTTCAGTAATTCTATCTTGTCGTTATCTAAGAGTAGTTCTATATGTAGCTACCTGTAGGCTATCAGTAGCTTTATCTACATCACTTAGGGGTTACTGTTCTAGATTACGGAAATCAGCCTACTATTTCTCCAAAAATAATGCTATATATCAAAGTTTTTTTTTCTCCTAGATAAGCTGTGTTTACCACTAGTAAGGAATTTTGTCTATCGCCCAAGTGACGTATTTTTCAGTTTAGTTGTGCTGACGAATTCGCCCCGTAATTGACGAATTCGCCCCTCATGACTTGATGATGAAAAAATCAAGTTCTACGCTAAAGTAACTTGAGTATTTATTTTGATTTAATACATTATCAAAGTAGAAACCCTAATTAATAAAAAAATGCTTTTAAACTAGAAAAGTTTACTTATTTATGTGCAATCTCATTTTGTTAAAGTAAAACATGACGAATTCGCCCCGCCTTACCTTACAAAGATAAATTAGAAATTTGCTGATCGAAAATTTTACTTTCGAGCGTTTTATTTTCATAATATTTCAAAAATCACAAAATATCCAAAATCATTTTTTAAAAAATTACTATGCGATGTAAATTTATTGGTAAATTTTGATTTAAAATTCACGTGAAAATTTCCCGGTAAATTTTAAATCTGAAGGGGTAAATTTTCGTTTGAAAAGAAAATAATTTTTTTAAGAAAATTTTAAAAAAGCATATTGATGGCTTAATTGTAACTTTAATGGTTATTGTATAATTTAATGATTGCTGTAATAACATTAATGATAAAGTGTTTTTATTTTGAGTTCTAGAAAATATTTTAAAAATACAATAAAAATTATGCCGGAATAAAATAAGCATTTTAGAATTGTCGGTAAGATTTATTTATTGTTTAAATATAGCTATGCATGATATGGAATATTGTCATAGAATTCATGATAATCTGAAGGCAGGGTAGTTTTCAAATCCTGGAGGTCTTGATATCTCCTGTTTTTAATTTTCAATCTTTCGGAGTGCAGATTAGGTAACTGTTCAATATCCTTAATGTTAATAAGCTTGTCACTACGCTGCGGTAGCAACAGCCACTCATCTGTAAACCTTAGCTTATAGTAGATGTTGCCATCCATGTTATATTGTAAGCCACGAATGTCAGTTACCTTAAAAACATAATAATAATATGTTAATAATAAATCCAAATACCTAAAAGTAAAAAAAAAGCATTGACAAAGAAAAATGTATGTAATTAATCGATAAAACAATACCTTGGGTATAACTAAAACAATCCCCTTTTATTTTTCCAGGTCTTACTGATTTATAAAATTTGATTGAGTCAAATGATTTGAAAAATGAATGAGTCAGGTAGGAAACATCAAAGGGTTCTGGTTTTTTCCGAGCACTTCTACAAATTCCGTAGTATTCTACAGGCACATTAATAACTTTATTTTTTAGTTTTTTTTCTATACAGGCATGCATTGAGTCGGCCTCTATTTAGGTATGGCCAACCTCTAAATACTTCTGTTCAATGATTATTTGCTTGGAAATAGCTATATTCATTAAAACATTCGACATTATTGAATTTCTATTTCGTGACACGCAACCATCACTATATAAAATCAATTTAATATTGTTTTGCCTGCTGAGTCTGGGAAGAAATTTCTGGATAATGAATTTCCCCAATATGCTTGCATATTCTTCAGCATTTAGTCCTCCCTCAATTTCATTCCACAAATCATTTTTTCTGTGTATGTGTTGGTTGTAGTCTAGGTTTGATATTTAGCCAAGCTTGTGGCATAAACATTTTTCACATAATTCCTTTTTAAGTTGGAATAGAGCAATATTTTCGGTCTCCATGGTGTTGTTAAATCTTGCTGCAGACAAATGGGCAATGTTGTTCGATAAACACGATTCAGACACATAAAAATTATAAAAGGATTTTTTTGTAGACCATTCGGATAAAATATATTTCTTAGATGTTGATTTGCGACAGAAGTGCGATTCCATTTTTGGCAAACTTTCAAAAAAATCTTTGAGTGAAGCTACTTCTATATGAAATAGATTTTCTCTAACCTTCGGTGATTCTACCAATGATACTGCTTGGTTGACAATTGATCTTGATTGTTTCCAACCTCATACGGTTGATTTTACAACACACAGAGTGTTTAAGAACATTGTCTTACAAACTCTGTACAATTTTTCTTTTTTCCTTAAATAATACTCAATTGAGCTGATTCTTTTGGATTTTAAAGCATCCTTTCTGTCTCTCGGTCTCTTGATAGGAATGCATTTGGCAAGACTATCAAAATACACCTTCTTTCTCCTCAAGTCATCTTCCAAAAACTTACGAAGATTTTCGTTCGATCTGTGTCTAAAATATCCAAACATTGAAAGGCAGATTTTTTGTTTGATGTGCATTTACACCTTGGTGTCAGCCTTTTTACATTTTTAGGCACATCAGTGATTATTTTTTCGCCTATTCTTTTGCGACCAAAATATTTTTGTCCCTTTTCTCAATTGGCAAAATTTTTATGGTCTTTCCATGTGGATCTGTCTACCCGACATCTCCAAAAGCTTGAATGGAGGCTTTGACCTCACTTGTGGGTGTGTAATGCGTTAGGAATATTTCCATATCGAAAACAGTAGTGTAAATGGGTAACATAAATGTGCATTTCTCCATTACAATGACCAATGTCTTCGGTAAATGACATTCTAAAAAATCAAGTATATTTTAATCATTTCAAGGAATTAATGTATTCAAGATTCATGTATTCATGTATTAAACAGAATTGCATAATGTTTTCAATTGGCATCACACCTTTAAAAAAGAAAAACCTTTTTTTTTTGTCGAATAAAATTAACTTTGCAGGAGTTTCTTTTTGATTTATTATCTTTGCTTGCATTAAATGAAAAAAAAGGACAATTAAAATAAAAGTTATTAAACTTAGAAGCGTATTTTAAAATTTTGACATTATTACTACTTGCTTATGAATTTTAAACCACTCTTCTATGGAGTTGGCTGGTTTGCGGATTAAGCCATCGATATGTGGAATTTGCGCTTATTGAGTTGTTTCCAAAACTTTAATAACTTTTATTTTATTTGTACGTTTTTTTCAAAATTTTAAAATAAATATGTGCAATATAAGGTTAAGAAATAACTACAACATAACCAAATATAGTATTAATATACACAAGGAGCTGATTCTGTAATTGTAAAGTAATTATCAAACTTAACTTAACTGTTTTTGGAAACAAATATGCTTTAAAAAGTTAGTTTCTTACCTTGCTTTTATTCAGGTCCTTTATATTTTGAAAGCTTTAAATGTGTATATTAATATATTAGTTATATTAAAAATTTAAACTCCGCGATCTAACACTTCACAATACAAAATGGCAAAATTGGCGGGAGTTAGCTGGATTGGTAAATCGTTTTTTGTAAACCTGGAGTTGGCTTGTATGTGTGCGGGGTGATTTAACGTATTTATAATTTTATTTGAATTATGGTCTTTTTGCATATCATAGAAAATTTGAAGATCAACAAAATGACGTCAAAATCTGGATTTCGCGGATTAAGCCATCAATATGTGGAATTTGCGTTATTGAGTTGTTTCCAAAACTTTAACTTAACCGACGAAGATTACTTGTTTTAAGCACTTTGACGTTGTCCAAATCAACTAGGGCGTTGGAAACAGGGCGTTGGAAACTATGCCTGAGAGTGGTGATAAAGTGTCAAAAACTCCTAAATTTAAATTATTTTTTTAAAAACATTTTTTTCGTACTCTCAGACATATTTATTAGTGATATATGGGGAATTTTAGTGATGTATTGGGACAGTAAATTTATTGAATTAAATATGGCTTTTAGTGCGAAAGGTAATATGATGTTAAGACCAAAAAAAGTTGTTTTCTCTAAAACTGTTAAGTTTGGGGATCCTTTTGTATTTAATAATAATAATAAAAATAAATAAATAAATAAAATTATGCAAAAAAGTACATTTATTTGTATATATAAAACCATAATTAAAGACATATATTGTTAATATACAATTAAAATACCAATTAAAATCTTGTTGTTTTCAAAAGCAAAAATCTAATTTTTTATTATGATTTCGCTTGATTTGCATTATATTTAATAAATAATTTACAAACATGAAACTTCAGAGTAGCAGCTTTCGTCGATACTAACCGATTTTCGAATATCAACAAATGGCGTTGAAGATTTTCTGGCAAATAAGTAAGATGTATTTTCAGAACTAACTAGAGAAGGTTCAGATTGATGACCATATACAAATTCTAAAAACAATAAAATTTATTCTATAAACGATAAATCTGTTAGTTTGTTTGATGACCTCAAAAATAATAAAAAAATGTTAATAAAAAACCTTACAAGATCGCATTTGAAATTACAATTAACTATACAATAATATCATTAAAAATAATGGAAGGTTTTTTTTCTATACCGATTTTGCGCATTTTTATTACTATTATTTTTGTTAACTGGTGGTATTTTAAAAGCGTACAAACTCGTTGTGATATTACATAGCAATTAAAAATGCTTTTGATATCATACAATTCATTCACTTCAAGCCCTGGCTACTTAAAAGGGGTTTGTACAAGATTAGCTTTCCTGGCCAACCATTATTCTTCATAACCTCCTGCCATCATGCCGGAGAGCTTCATAAAGCCGTAGCTGTAAACAAATCTGTTGAGCCGGCGAATCAACTATTTAGATCATAAAACCGTAAAAGGTTAAAAAATAGTAAGGTATTGATAAAACAACTTCACTTTAAAATACCTTTTTGCAAAAACAAAATGTATAAATTTCTGATTTTAAAATTATTTACATAAGTATATATTTGTAAAAAAATATATACAAATGCGGGAAAAAATCAGCGCATTAGGTGAAAATTAACAAATATGGAGCTGCTTCGCACGCCTTGAATTTCATGAAATTCAAGTTGCATTACTCTACCCGACGGGCATTTGTTTTTAAAAGTTACGATCTAAATGTATTTTAAATATCTTTTAAACGTCTTTTAAACATTAATGTTTAAAAGACATTTAATTTTTACCCGTCGGGTAAAATCAGACAGGTTTTTATTCTGCGTAATAGAATACTCAAAGAGATCAATAGAATGGTTGACTACATTTCTCTTTCCAGGGCAATGCGGTTTTTGACCTGCGACTTTTCTGATTCTGCAATTTTTAAAGCAAAACTTAATTTCATCAGTTTTGATATTTCAGTCTTATTTTTTAAGAATAATTTGTCATAAAGTAGCATATTGTTGGTTTGAGGTCATCAAACAAACCAACAAAACAATGGCAATTCATAAAGCTAGCTACAGCGACTGCTTTCTCGCTTTATTAAATGGTCTAATAATTTGAATTTTGATCTGATACCTAACTGCAAACTCTGAACCTTAAAAGTATATTTAAAAATTATTTTTTTACATTTTTTCTTGAGATATTTGTCTTATCTGAAAATTTATATGTATGTAAATATTTATTGTACAATTCTGAAGCAAATTTGTTTCAGACACAAAAGACCTGTGGCAGTAACAGATACAGCATTTTTTGGTGATTGTGAGCAAAATTTTTATATTTGTATATTTATACTTATTATGTCAAATAATTATGCTTCTTATAAAGGTGCAATCATTGGAGGCTGGGAACAAAAAAACCCTAAAATATTATCCCCCTGCCCCAAACATGGGAGCAGCAAGTTGATGAAATAATTTTTTTGCTATTCTTTACTAAATTTATATACATTGATAAATTTTAAGTATTGTTTTACAATCTCTAAAAATTATGACCATATAAAATTTGTAACCCCCTTAAATTAAGGGGGGGGGGGGAAGTTAAACTTTATATGGTCAGTTTATGAACACTGAGAGATAATACTATGAAACTTAAAATTAATCAATGAATATAAACTTATAATTGCTAAAAATTATTTTATCAACTTGTTGCTCTCACGTTTGGGACAAGGGGGATGAAAATTTAAGGCTTTTTTGTTCCCAGCCTCGGATCATCGCAACATCTCGTTATTTGACATAAGTATAAACATACAAATGTTTGGAGTTTGCGCCATGTCTGTTAGCTATCTCAAACACCAAAAAATGCTGGATCCTTCACTGATCGATGCCTACTCTAGGCTTTTTTTAAAATGCTCCTCTGTGGTGCTCTGTGATGCGACCATTAGGTCGCATCACAGAGCACCACAGTGGAGCACCTTAAAAAAACCACAGAAAAAATGTGTATATATATTTTTGAATCACATTGATACGTTTTGTTTACACTAAAGATCAAAAGTCCTTTATCGAATCTTTTAAGGAAACCATTTTGGATTTGTTTGATCCAAAGCTCCAGTAATAGTATTTAAAAAAAAAAACATCATTTGATACCGAAATTAGATAAAAATTATAAAATTTGTCGCAAAACTGAGAAAAAACTCAAAGGTCAACAAAAAATCACTTTACAGTTACCAAAGTGTTAATTTATCTATCGTATTCAGTAAAAGATAGGTACAACATATTTCTTAAATTATTAAGCACAGTGTTTTTTTTGGTACAGGAACACATTATGAAAATATCGTTGACCAAATTAACTGGATGTGACATCATTATCTATTAGCGCTAATGCTTTGAAATTGCTCTAAATTTAGTCCAAAATCGTAAAAAGCGTATTTTCGAACAATTCGCAAATACTTCTATCAAGAAAAAATAAAATATAAAAAAAAAATTTCATATAAATATGACCTCTACGCCACTCATTAGCCACTCCGCATGAAAATTGGTTGTCGAAAGAAAATTTTGGGATTGGCTAATATATTACACTGCCGCTCACGGAAGTTAGGACAATTAGGATTTTTCAAAAAAGCAACATTAATATGTAATTACGTTATACAACTTTTAGTTTATATTAATAAAAATTATATTTTTTATACATTTTACTAATATAAATTAAAAATTCTATAACGTTATTACATATTAATATTGCTTTTTTGAAAAATCCCCATTGTCCTAACTTCCGTGAACGGCAGTGTATATATCTTAGGGGTAGTCAAAAAAAGTAAATTTTCAAATCTAAAAAACCATACTCCCTAAATTTGAGGCAAATATATAAAAAATGAGCTTCAAAATTATTTTTTACGGATTTTTCAATTCGCGAATTAAGTGATCACGAATTGAAAATTCCGTAAAAAATTCTGGTCTTTAAATTTTTAGTTTCCTAAAAGACCGTGAAATATTTTATGGGTCTTAAAAATCAACTATAACTAATTTTATTAAGACTCTCATAACTTACATGTTTAAAATATTACTTTTATAAAACAGCAGTTTATTTAGCTAGATTAACCACTGTTTATCTATTTGGAAAAGAAAAGGCAAATACAGAATTCAAATACTTAATGTTATATGACAAAAATTTAAGGAAATATAAATAAATTAAATAAAATACATTAAATATCAACTACATCAAACTTTGATATAGTTGATATTTATGTATGTAGCTTTGATGATCACAGCTACATCAAACGAACTTCTAAAGTGTTTACAAATAAACGAAAACATTGATACTAGCGGTACGGCAAATTAAACTCTATTATAATTTTTAATGGTTGATTTTAAAATTTAGGCGCGTTATTTAAGAAACGTGAAACTTGACAAATAAGAATGGAAAAACTTAGTTAGATTGCAATCTCTGATTTTATATTCCTTTCTATAATAAAATATAGTAATGTTTTGAAAAAAAATAAATTTTGTGTTAAAAATTTCTTATCAAAGAAATATACAGAAAATCCTTCAAAATATCCCTCTTCTTTTAATCAGCGCCGTAGCATTGGAGGCAGAGCACTCCCTCAAACCTGTCATTACGGCCTAAAATTTTAAATACCTTCGATTATTAGGCATTACTAAAAAAAAAATCCTTAATTTTAGGATTTTATTTTTTTCCCTAATTTTGCTGCCCCCTCCCCCCTTACCGGATTAAGGGGGCTGTGATGGCAGGTCTGATTTTAAGAAATATATTCAATTAAAACATTCCAATGTCTTCAGGTAACTATTTTTATAAATAATATAGACGTAATAACGTCTTAAGGTAGGGGAGAGCGGGGTTGGTTGTCACGCGGGTTGGTTGTCACAAAGTTTATTACAAGAAATGTAAATAAGATATAGAAATTTCAAATTATACAATGGAAATGTTATATAAAAAAAACATTTTTACAGTAATTTTTATCTTTTTTTAGCGTGCAGAAGAAAAGTTATTTATTTTTATAGGTTTTTGATATGAAAAAGTAAAATTTCGCCTACTCAGAAATTTTCTTTTACCAAACGAAAATTATTTTATTGTGTTTTGAATGTAGATTTATAAAGTACTTTATTCATTTGAGTAACTTAATCCGTAAAAAATTATCATGAAATTCTCACGCTTTTAGGTAAATGTACAGGTGTCCAGCAACTTACTCAGAAGGGGTTGCTTGTCACAAAATATATGGGGATGGTTGTCACACTTGCCTCGACTCCATGCGCTGCAAATTAAACGCCGCTTGCAGAATATTTAGTGGCTTTGTTTATTTTCCGCATTATTGAGGAATATTTTAATGTTTAAGATATTATTTAAAAATCTAAAGTCAAAGTGTTATATATGTTTAACTAAATATCTGTAATCTAAATTATTTTTATTTCAACGTGCATAACTTTAGATTCCGATCCAATGTTTAGTATAATTATAGAAAAAGGATTGCAGAAGTTCAACTGTTTATTGTTTTGTTTACAAACTAAACAACTAGCTGTTGTTTAGTTTGTGCATCGTTTATATTTAGTGGGTTTATATATATATATATATATATATATATATATATATATATATATATATATATATATATATATATGTATATATATATATATATATATATATATATATATATATATATATATATATATATATATATATGTATATATACATACATATATATATATATATATATATATATATATATATATATATATATATATATATATATATATATATATATATATATATATATATATATATATAATATATATATATATATATATAATATATATATATATATATATATATATATATATATTAATGTTTTGTTTACATTATTTACAAATATTTTTATTTACTTAGTAATAAACATGGTACGAAATTTTAAAAGAAAAACTAATAGAGGTTATACTTCTGGAGATGTCATAATGTGTGCTGTTAAAGATGTAAATATTAATAACATTTCTATTAGATCAGCAGCAAAAAACCATGGCATTAAT